GAAGGCCATCGCTCTTAGGTTGAAGGCCATCGCTCTTAGGTTGGAGGTAGCTAAGAATCCGGTCCCTCAAACACATGGGATTTGGTTTGGGCCCGGACCCCTTGCGAAAGTGTCGAGCCCGACCCCTGCCATGGGCCCGTGCGGATTCTTAGGGGATAGCGATTAAGCGATTTGATTCCACCCCCACCCACCTGTCGCCAGCTTTGTTAGATGGTGATCCGATAACACGTCTTGAGGATGGCAATGTGTGCTAATGATTTTGATACGTTGATTTCCAAGACATGAATGTGACACTGACCACAGTGTAGTGATGACGTTGGTCTATTTGGAAATGCCAACGCACTTATAGGCACAAACAAAAGAGATAAAAAAAAGGATACAAGCAGACAAAGCAGAGGCTAGTAAAGAAGACACGTTATAAGTGAACAGGTGAAGAAGAGAAGTGCAGAGCAACCAAAAGCAGAAAACATTGCGGAAGGAGTCGGAGTCAAGCTTAATTACAGAAACGTAGAGCAACGAGCGAGTTATTCAGAACAGAGAGCAACATGAGCAAGTAGCAAAGAAACAGTGATAGAGAGAATAAGCTAACAATTCAAGCAAGAGGAGAGAAGTGGAGACAAAAATCCGATCTCTGTTCTCTTGTCCTACAGCCTTGTTAAGCCTATGGTCCTTCCTCATAGGAACCTGGAAGAGACTGGAACGATTTTTCACAGTGTATATAAACAAGTGCTTTTTGATGTTTTTTGTTTTGCTATGCCTTTCGTGTCCGTTTGACGCGCCCCTAGGGGGCCCCTTCACAGCAGGAGGTGCCCGGCGTCGCCTCGCCTGCCGCGGAGCACGACATCCGCCGGAACGAGCGGCGGAAGATGCGGAACGAGCCTCCCGTCACCGTGCTGGGTGTCCTGGCAGTTAGTAGCGTCCGACCGCTCCGTTCGTAGCGATGCCCTTTGTTACTAGTAACTTCTTGTTCCTAGTAGTAAGGCCAGGAGCACAGTTACTAGCGTCCTTGCTACTATAGTAGTAATGCCCATGCGCAGCAAATACCGTCTTGGAGACGTTTGATCTGGTTGGGCAGCCAATCAGGAAGGATTCGGAAGGATCAGATGCAATGCATCGAAAAGGAATGATGTAACTTGACGTGGTTCAGCAGTTTGGGGCACTGCTCAGCTAACCCATCTCTTGAGACAAACCTTGAACAAACGAACCCAGAGGCATGTCGGAGGAGTATATATCCTGGAAAATCTGTGGGTCCTCTTGTTTGCTGGTCTTGTTTGTGGATTGCTTCTGGGATGATCACCCACATAACCATAACCTTTTCAATCTACAAGCGCACAGAATCGCAGGAATAGATTGGAACGCCTTGCTGTCATGATTGACTCAAGAGCAGTGGATGGCCTAAGGTGCTTTCCTGACCCAGAAGAAGACCAAGGTACGAAATCAGGATGTTGTTCATTCTCCACTAAGGAATCCTTTTGCTCATCTCAGCCTCAGAATGAATGACACAAAATCTATCAAAATCTATGATCACTTTACTGGCGACCCACCATAGCACCCCCGGTGGGGAAAAATGACAAAACAGAAATTCATGAGCCCACCGCCAGTGATCGATGATCGCTTCACGATTTCTGGTACGCTGCAGAAGCGTCATAACTCTCAGGGACTCGATGAGGATCCACTAGATTCCGCGAGGCCTCCAACCGACGGAGGGTGATAG